CCCCAAAACCCCAAAACCCCATCAAGCAAATATATTATATATTTAATCATCTCAAATATAAAGTGATATTCAATAAATATAATCTCTTCGTCTATTTCCTTCAATAATAAATGAGTAAGTTATTGCATCGATCAATATCAATCATAATTTCAACTTAAATTTTCCAATCTAAAAATCAAGTTCACTGCCTCTTCACAATCCTAGACTACGTACTTGGCAGGATGTTTATCACTATTTTCCAAACCTTAAAAAATACCTGTTCTTACCAATATAGACACCCATTTATCTCCTCTCCTATTAGCACCGTCGATATCCGAATCAGGATTATCTCCAACCATGTAATAGCGTGTTATCTCTACCCCTTGCTCCTCAGCTAAATTATTAAGTAAATTCTCAGCATAGTCATAAGTCAACTTCTCGGGTTTACCATACTAGAAGTATTCAATATCTAGACCATAGTAAGCCTTAAATATAGCAGATAAAGCAATTAGGAATGTTTTTGGCCCATATCTTGGAATCGGCCATTGATAAGGCCACACGAGATCTGGGTTTGTCATAAATAGATCAACTACCTATGGATCATCCTTCGTCCTTCTTGGTCCACAAATATGGCCATCAGTACTAGCAAGGATATCTGAAAACAATTGTATTGTTAGATCAGAATAAATGACTCCATTCATTATCATTATAGCTGAGAAATGCAACTCTGTCTTTAATTCCTCCATTGTCTTGCCCAATCTAGTCTCTAAATCTCTAACAAAAGATCTTATTCTCTCTGGATGTAAACTATTCAAGGATTAATAATATAATATAAATACATTGGAATGTCTAGTGGAACAGCTTTGGGGTAGACAGCAGCTAATTCGTCAACATGAATAGCCTTGTTGTACCCATAGGCAATAGCAGCATTTAGAGACTCATCGTATCCACTGATCAAAATATACTTGTCCCTGTATTTCTCAACTAGCTTTGGATCACTAAGGGGTGTGTGGCACTGTTATATATTTTTCTTGTCAATTTTCAATTCTTTGTCATCAAATTTAAGTATACGATTCATCTACTAGGCTTTTCTTTCTTCAGTAAAGCCCCCTCCATTAGTTAGCAAAATAAATGGAATATTCTTCTTAGAATCCTCTCTTTCCTTTAGCAATAAGCTGATCATTTTATCTGAGTTTCCAATTATGGTTTCACCTCTGACTACCACTCCATCAATGTCAAAAGCTATTGCAGGCATTCTATAATAGTTGGTCAGAGATATTTTAACAAAGATACTTGAGTTTTTAAGATTCTGACTGTTCGACCATTTTAAATTTCTACCTTTATATTATGCTTGATTAATGAAATAAAGTTAATGAAAGCATATATAAATATTTTAGCAAATCAAATCTGTCAAATGTGTATATATTATTGGATCATGGGGTTTTGGGGTTTTGGGGTTTTGGGG